CAGCAGAGGTGCTTCGCCATGGTTTGCTTGTGCAATCCTGAAAAAACACCTTTTAATTATGTAGCAGACCTGGATTTAGCAAAAGGAACAGCAAAAGAAACCCTATTTAAATTTTTCCATTAAAAATCTCTTCAGAGTTCCTTTTTAGCTTGTATCCCTTTTCATCCTTTTTCGTGGTACCTGTAAAAACGTTTGCAAATCACTATTGGTCTGTGCACATAGCTTGAATACTAAATTCATATTTATGGCAGGAAAACTTAATTTTCGTGTGACCTTCACCTTTAAGAAAACCACATGTGAGAGAGCCACATTATTGAAAAATATTACTTAAGATGCAATAAAGCCATTTCACAAGAAAAAAAAAATATTTTTAAGAGATTGGGGAAGTAACTTCCGATAAGAGTTTCCTTCCAGTGCCCCAGAAATCACAGCAATGACAGCGGCCACCACCCCCCAACCCCCAACCCCACCCGTCTCTCTGTGAATCACTACTAAGGTACAACAGTGTCTCAGGATGGCCCCCAAATGGCTGATCCCGCCGGCCCCTGTCCTCGAGGCTGGGCCATCTTTGTTCCGCTTTTAGGATGCGCCGCCTCGCCCCTCCCCGCACCCCCTTCCTTCCTGCAGGGGTACCCGCTCCTCCCGGCTCCTGCTTCCAGCCACTTCCTCTCTTCCACTCTCTCCTCCTGTTGAATGCCCCCTCTCCCCCCTCTCTGATGGGGCGCCTCTGCACACCTCCCCAGCTCTGAGAGGCCCTTGTCGTCACACTGCGCCCTCGCCTCCAGCTGCTGCCCACTTTTCCCTCCAGTCCCCCTGAGCAAGTACCCCCACGGCTCCTCACACAGAGCTGTGCGGGTGGCCCGCCCGGGGGACCGTGCAGGAGAGCAGGAGCTGGACAGTAAGGGCCTGGGGACCTGCATTTCTGGTGAGCGCCCCGGGGGCACCCACACTGGAGGACCCCGGCAGTGCCTTCCTTCTGATCACCACCCTCACCTTGATCTTCACCCCCACCGGCGGACACCCATTTCCTCCACCACACTGAGGCGGTTCCTAACTGCCCCCACGTGCTTCTTGCCCTGAACCCAGCGGCTCTGTCCTTCCTCCTCACCTTCTTGGCTCACGGTGTCACTTAGTAAGGACCATTGGTTACTTACCTCCCTTTTCTTAAGATCTTCTTCTCTTGGGCTTGCTGACTCCGTATTCTTTGGGCCCTTCATGCCGAGGCAACTCTAGTTTCCTCGGATTGTGGCTCTGCCTCCTCGTACCACCTGAAGGGACCTGTTCACCACCCCGAGGACACCCCTCAAAGTCACTGCTGACTCTGTGGCTTATCCTTGTCTCTGTCCTTTCCTTCAGGAGTTATCCAATGCCACGACTTCAATGTGCATCATTCAAATGTGTATTTCCAATGAGACCTGTTCCCCAATTTACATTCCAACCTCCAACTAGTGGCTTGAGACCTGACTAATTTCTGTGCCTAAGTTTCCTGTTTCTATGAATGGCGTCATCATTCCGCCAGTCACACAAGTCCCCAGCCTCTGAGTTACCCTTGGTGTCCTGCCCCTTCATGTTCCACCACTAAAGTCTAAGCTAGAAGGACAGGGCTCACGGGACCCAGGAAGGGTGAGTTAAGAGTACATGAGATTTGCCAGCTGTGTTTCCAGTTAGTTTAGTGACACTCCCACGTCCTGATGCCCTTCTCAGCGTACCTCAGCTAACCTGCTAGTTTAAATTCCTGCCTGTTCCCTGCCCCTTCCTTCTCTTATTTGCTGATTTTAATTTGCATCTGAATCTCCTTTTTCCTTTTCATTCCTTTTCTACCTCCTTTGTTTTCCTCTTTTTCTTCCATTGATAACCAATCCTGCTTTGTAAAACGACGCACATCGCCTTTGCCTCACTTACCACATAACAGACTTAAACGTCATTTTTGAGTCTGATACTGAACAATACCGGCCCAGTCCTACCCATCTCTCTTTTCTTCTACCTATTTCACATTATATTCCATCACCGTGCACCATACCCATTCTTCTTGTTCTTAATCTTAAAGCAGTTCCAGGACAGCAAAGGCCATTCCTACGTTAGTCATTATTTTATGTTGCATCCCATGGTGTCTGGCCCTGAGCAGGTGCTCAGTGTTTCTTAAAGGAAGAAAGGAAGGAAGCACATGAAGGAAGGAAGGGTGAGAATGTGATCCCCATTTTGTCAAGAAATAATAAGGCTCTGAGAGATTAAGCAACTTGCCTGCAGTCACACAGCTAATCGGTAAGGGAGTGAGGTCTCCACGCCATCCTGCCTAAAGCAAAGGCCTGTGCTAAGGACATCGCCTTTCTGTGTCCCCAGCTCTGCAGTGAGGTGCCCCAGGAGGAGGCAAATATGTATAAGATAAAAGGCTCTGCCCTCAAGGGATATGTAACTATTAAGGGAGCTAAATACACAAAGAACTGTAATATAAAGTAGGGTATGTAACCATGAGTTCACGTTTTCTAAACAGACTTGTTTAGTATGTAGTCTCTGGGTTAATGGTTTTTGTGAGGAACAAAATAAAGCAAGTTTGTAAACAGTGTTCACACAGAGGGCTCGCCTTTTCCCTGGAGCCTTGTGGTTGACATTACTGAGAAGAACAGTCTTGAAATCCAAGCAAAGAGGACTCTCCATCACATGTCAGACCCACAGGTTAAGTTAACTGCGATTCCGGTAGAGTTCCCAACTTAAAATCAGATCCAAGCTGCCTAAGAGTGATTCTTAACTGCTGGCTGGCAAGAGTAGAAACAGTGCCATTAAAAGATGCTGCCATCCTATTGTCTTTTATAAGTTGGTAGAAAAGAGGCAGCTTCTCTGTGGCTTGGAGAAACAAAAAGTGATTTTTTTTTTTAAAGCCAAGAGAAATAGTATAGGTTTCTTGTAACTTTTTGTTTTCAAAAGGTTTATCACAAAACTGGTCTTTTGAAGAAAAGTTAGGCATGACCTACTGGCTGCCAAAAGACAGTAATGGGTTGTCTGCTCAAAATTATCCAAGGCTACTAGGGTGTAATAAAAATATCAGATATTGTAGTGGGCTTAGTGTAGAATGCAGCTCTTGGAATGCAAAGCTTTAATCTGAGCAGGGTGGCCTTGGTGTGGACAGCAGGTTCTGTATGTGTTTCTTAACATTTCTCAGTCGCCCCAGTCTGGAGTCAGAATAAGATCGTCATAAATCTGGCACTAAAAATCAGAGGAAATGATGGCATTGGTAGAACTGGCTAGCTATTTGTGCAAAAATAATATTACATCATTGCCTAAAACTTCCATGAAGAAAATATAGTGGGTATGCCTAAAATTTTAGTAATATGTCAAACTATAATGTGAAATAGGTAAATAATTTTACACTCTTAGGGTAAGTAAAGGTTTTATAGCATGACACTAAAAGCAGAACCATGAAGCATAAGGTTATATGTAAGTATGTTCAAAAGGGAAAAGGAAAAGAAAAACTTTCATGCTGCCAAAACAAAAGCAATAAAACAATGTCAAAATGAAAATGAAAATCTGGAAGAACATATTTAAAACATAGGTGTTGAAGAATTTACATTTCTACAGCTGCTCAATTCAAAAAGGAAGAAATACATCCTTGCTATAATCAGATAAAACAATTTTGTGAAAAGACCTACAATTTCTTAGCTAACAGGCTGCCAAAAATATAAAAGTCACCATATCCCGTGACAGTAAGCATACAGGAAAGTGAGCCCTTGTACAGGATTCGTGGGAGAATAATTCCTACTATTTTTGTGAAGGATACTTTGGCCCTTTGTACCACAAAACCTTCACAATGGACGTACTCTGTGACCCAGCAATCCTACCTCTCAGAATTTATCCTAGAAAATTATTTTAAAAATATAAATAAATATATGTGCAAACATTTACTGTGAAAAACTGAAATCATCTAAATGTTCAGTCGAGGAAGAGTTATATATACTATGATCCAGTCATATAGTAGGGCATCATGTCACTAACATATCAGGACCTGTGTACGTTTTTGTTGACACAGAAAGTTATTTAATATATTCTAAGTGAGAGAAAATCACATTAACAACAACTTGTATACTTTCTTTTTTAAAAAAGCGTATCATGCAACAGCTTGTGTAATGACTTCTTTTAAAATGATATATATGCGTGTGTGCATATATTTGTATGTGCTAATATATTAATACATATGTACTTATGTATTGTATATATGTACTAATATATACATCTACATGGAAAGAGATCAGTGGGGAGAGACAAAGAGAGAATGAGCCAGACAGTAGTAACTAAGGTCCTCGTCCTCACTAGTCTGAAATGGCTCTGAATCTGGTGCAACTTGGGTTAGATTGACACCAACTCCAAGGCCTTCGAGAGGTCAGCACCCTCCTGTGAGGTTCACTTCTTCATATTTCTGTCTGCCTCTGCGTTTCTGTGCCCTTATGTGCTGGCCTTCTTTTGTATCATGAAACTCCTCATATATAAAACTTAGTCCCTTCCCAGTAAATTCTTTCCCAGTGAGCCTTTTGTGAGTTTTTGCGGATTTTATCCAAGGCTTAAGGAGCATGGGGGGTGATCGCTGAACTGCTATCTCAACAGCTGTTCAGCCCTACCCCTGCCTGACTCCTGGGAAGCTTTGGGATCAGCCAACCTCCAGCCTGAAGGGCAGGGAAGAAAATTAGATGTCCTCCTTATTATTAGATGTATGGATCTTATGTACGTTAAGTATGTTATGTACATTGCATGTATATGTGTACATATATCCTGGCTCCCTGGATTAAAACTTCAGGAAGTTACTATTTAAAAGTTACCAGTGGCTATCTCCACACAGTGGGGCCATCAATGACTTTCACATTCTTCTTCATACTTTACTGCATTTTCTGATATTTTTACAAGCATGCAATACTATTATAAAAGGAGAATATATAAAGTTATTTCCATTTTAAAAGATAAAACATAAGACTGACGACAAAGCCGTGTTTCTCTGGGTCTGTCCATGTCCATACCTGTTCTGCAGAATCCCAGCACCTTCAAATTCCCACAAACTGCCTGAGGAGTCCGCAGGAGGGTCCCATGTGTGCCTGGGGCCACCATCTTGGCTACCACTTGGGTCTCGCACGTGGAGACCTCCCATTCACTGACCCTCCTTTGGCGATGTTCCCTCCCAGTAGCTCAAAGGGCAGCTGTCCTCACGTGGCCCTGAGAGAACTCTGCAGCCCTGCTGGGTAGGTGCCCAGCAGCACCTCAGCCAAGGGAGCAAAGGTCTCGCAAGGCCACCCTCCCTGACCTTTGCCCAAGCTGACCTTCTACTGGCTTTCCCTGTGCAGCTACCAAGGAGAAAGCTTCCCTTTGTCTATCTTTGATAGAAAGGAAATACAAAAATAAACGGGGCCTGCTGTCCAAGCCCATCCTGCAGTTGTCCCTCCTTGTCAGGGCAAAGGGAACAAAGGATCCCTGTCTTCTTCTCTTCCTGGCTGTCTCACTGCAAGGCCCTGTCAGCAGTTCCGCCTGGAGGAGTTAGGGGAGCTGGCCCTCCCACAGAAATGACAGAGCCCCTCCGACCCCCAGTCGGCTTGCTTAGTGGAGGGATGATGAACCCAGCTGAAGTGCCCCACTAAGCACCCCCTTCAAAAGGGGACATATGACAACTGTCCTGCTAGGTGCAGTCCTGGGAGTGCACCAGTATGCCCTCTCCCCATCCTAGAGCCCAGCGAGGCTTCCATAGCTCAGCCCCTTACACTTGGGCCCTGCCCAGGGCCCCCCGGGAAAGGAGCACCAGAAAGGCCATCAGTTATGGCCCCCTATCACAGTCTCTGCATGACTTAACAACCTCAGGATGGTGGATACACGAAATCCGGGGGCGAGTCTCAAAGGGCCAGCAGAACCAAAGAGAAAAACATAGCACCTCAGTATCTGGGGCAAACTGGCCCGTCTCAGGCAGGATGTGGTGTGCAGCTGTGTTTGTTTAGGCCACTCCTTATTGGCCTGCTTGGGTTTGAATGTTTTTATATTGGTTACCAATATTTAAAAATCATTGTTAAACAGACACGAAAAGCTGCTTTCCCACAAAGACTCATGCATAACTATCCGCAGCAGCTTTCTTTGTACCTGACAAAACCAGAAATAGCCCAGATGTCCATCAACGGGTGAATGGATAAACAAATCGTAGTAAAGCCATCCAATAAAGCCTTACTTGGCAATGTAAACACATGAATATACACCCACAGTGATTGAATCTCAAGGTCTTATGCTAGTGAAATAGGCCAGGAAATAAGAGCATATGCGGCATGATTCTGTTTATCACAGAAAATAGGTAGCAGCTGCCATTTAGAAGGGGCACGCCCTTTCCAATGTGCCGCCGACCTCTGTACTTCCGACTCTTAACCCATACTAATTACATGTGCCTTGTCATTCGTTTAACTCTTAGCTGTTGAGAACCTCTAATACCTATCAGGTCTCATTCTAGGTGTGGGAGTTACCGCAGTGACTAAACGCCTAACCATCATGATGCCATGTTTCCATCTTCATGGGGTTGGAAAAAAGAAGACAGACATTGAACAAGTTCATAAGTAAAATATATACTATATATAGTATATATATAGTATATCAGATGGAGAGATAAGTACAAAGGGAAAAAATAAAGCCAGGAAGCAGTATACAGCAATCCAGGGCTAAAATGTTAGTTATGGATACTGGGCCCATAACATCAAATGTTAGCCCAGGTAAAAATTCAGAGAGGCGGCTTTTGAGAAGAAACCTGAAGGGGTGAGGAGTGAGACATACACATATCCCAGGGAAGAGCATTCTAGCCAGAGGCAGCGGCCCAGGGGGAGACTGTGAGCCGGAGAGACTGCCATAATCTTCAATGAAAAACTAATCTGATCTGGAAAAAAATAGTAAAATACGAGCTTGGAGAGTAGGGTAGGGATGGTGTAGCGTCCTACAGACTATTGGTGGAGTTTGTCATTTATTGGTGAGATGGGAAGCCATTGGAGAGTTGTGTTCACTATAATTAGGGTAGAGTTACTGATTATATCTTAGTAAAGCTAAGAAGAAAGAGAAATATTTTTTATAACCATGCCATCCCCCTGGTCTCTGGAGACATCTGAATTGGCAATTCCTGACATAGTTTATCTGAATCTCATAATCCAGGACAAAATACCTGGCTTTCTACACCCTGATAGACAAAGTCATCATGTTGACTAACTTGCAGGAATATGTCACTTTTGTAGCCTCCTTTCTCTGGCGTTTGGGGCTTCAACCACACCAGTCTGCTCTCTCACCTCTTACACGACACCCCTTCCCCTCGTTCCTTGTTGTCCCCTAGCCTATGTATCACTGGGGGTCTTCCCTGATCACCACCAAAGCCACCATGCTGGAGGCCCTATCCAAGCACAAACTCTAGGTTCTCAATCTGGATGTGCGTTACTTCAGAACCCACGTTATTGAGAGCAAGATTTATAATCCCATGAAAAAGAACAGGCAATATCCTGTAATTTACTTAGTCAACCACACCTCACAGGTAAACTCTGTAAATGGAGCCCATATTTGAAATGAGCTTTGAGATAGAGGAAGCAGTTTCATTTCTAAAACCTAAGCAAACTTTTCTGAAATGGTATCACCAATTAGGAAAAAAGTGAATACACACTCAGGAGGTTAGAGGCTAGGGAATTAGACCAAAGAATCACATACGATTTGGGAAAAGAAAAACATCTGGTCAAACATAATCTGGCAGAACGCAGTTTGAAAAAGCAAATTAGACCAGGCCAAGAGAGCCGATATAAATTTCCTCTTAAGTTAATATATGCAGTTATAATGACATCTCAAATTTATGTGACTATTTGATGGGCTCTGTTGATACGGGGATCTACATATTCACACTGGCTATAGAACAGATATTTCTGCAGCTCAGAGTTATTTCAAAATATTTGAACCCTGAGGATGCATCAAAAGAGTTAAAAGATGATGACTGGAAGATAGAATAAACATACTTCTCCTTATTCCTTCCTCTAGGCTATAGAATCCCTGTACACTGTATATAAAGCAAACCTAAGAATACTCTGAAAGACTGAGTGAAGAAGACAGATAAGCTAGAGACCTTGAAACCTTAGAAGCAACATGACAGTGAGTTCCCTGGGTTTTCTTTTGCCTGATGTATTCTGGACTAGGTGCTGGAGAAGCCTGGAGCCCAGAAACATCAGCAAGCAAAGGCCCAAGAAAAGCCTGTTCTGCCTAGCCAAAACACCGAGGGTCAAGCCTAGTAAGACAGGAAATTTTTTGACAATAACTACCTAACTCCAGCCAAACACCATGGGAAAACTGTAGCCCTCCGCAATTCTCTCAGGAAAGAGCATGTGGGGGACTTAGAATTCCACCCTTACCCAGATGTAATTAGGTGCCCTCTCCTTCCTGGGGATGTCAAAGGAGGCTGAATTTGGAAGCTGCACCTCTAATCCTATATGAAAATACCCTGCATCCCATTCCCATGCTGGTGTGATGGTTAGTACCTCCCTTTCCCCTGCTGGTGTAGTGTCAGAGGTGGTCTTCTGAAACAGAGGATTTAAATGAGATCCAGGGTCTTAAAATACCCAAAATGTCCAGGTACAATAAGAAAATCACTCTTTATACAAGAGGCCAGGAAAATCTCAACTTGAATGAGAAAAGTCAATAAACAGATTCCAACACTGACAAGACACTAATGTTAGAATCATATGACAAAGATTTTAAACAGCTGTCATAGAACTGCTTCCATGAGATTTATAAACATACTTGAAGAAATGGAAAAAATAAGAAGTTTCAAAAGGAAAAAAAAGGTATAATGAAGAACCAAATGGAAATTTTAGAGCTGAAAAATACAATAACCAAAATTAGAAGCTCAATGTATGGGTTCAACAGCATGAAGAGGAAAGAGGAAAGTATCAGTGAACTTGAAGATAGAACAACAAAAATTACCTAATGTGATCCAAAGAGAAAAAAATTCTAATACTCCTTTCATTAGAGTCCTGGAAGTAGTGAAGAAAGAGGATGGGAACAAAAAAAATCATTCAAAAGAATAATGGATAAAAAATTCCCCAAATTTGTCAAGAGAAATAAATCTACGCATTCAAGAAGCTACCTGAACTCCAAACAGGATAAACCCAAAGAAATCTCCATGAAGACATCATTCCCAAGCTTCTAAAAGTTAAAGATAAGGGGAAAATCTTGAAAACAACCAGAGAGAAACAACACTTGACCAATAAAAGAAAAACGATTGAACTGATATTAGAGTTGTTATCAAAATCACGGAGGCCAGAAGGCAATGCTAACATTTCTCAAATACTGAAAGAACATTCAAGCCAGCATCTCACACTTGGCAAGAATACTCTTCAAAAATGAAAGGGAAATAAAGACATTCTCAGATGAAAAAAAATTAAGAGAATTTGTTGCCAGCAGAACTATCCTTAAAAAATGGCTATTAGAAGTTGAAACAGAAAGGCAATGACAGAAGAAGGAATCTTGAACATCAGGAAGGAAGGAAGAACAAGAAAAAGAACAAAAATATGGGTAAGTGCAATACACCTTGCTTCTCTTGAGTTTCTAAATTATGTCTGAATATTGAAGCAAAAATTATAACATTGATATGGTTTTCAATGTTTATAGAGGAAATAACTCATGAATGGGAGAGAGAGAAGACACTTAAAGGGAAATAAGATTTCTACGTTTCACTTGAATTGGTAAAATTTGACAGCAGTAGACTATGATAATTTATGTATGTATAGTGCAATAAATAGAACCATGAAAAAAATCTGTATAATGCCAGATAAATAAACAATGCTAGATAAATCAAAATAGAATTCCGAAGAATGTTCAAATAACCTACAGAAAGGAAGGAAAATAAAACAGAAATGAAAAAACATGGAAAAAACAACATCAGAAACCAAAATGGCTTACTTAAGCCCTAACATATCAATAAATTTTTCAAAATGATTATGGATAGACTACGTGCTATCCCATCTTCCTCAGAATCCTTCTATTTTGTGCTCCAAACCTTCATTTGTTAAAATGAGGGCTTGAATTCTCAGATACACCCAGAATGGTTAAAGTCATAGTTTTCGCAATGATTTTCCCTTCCTTTGACTCATAACATGCTTGAAAATGTTCTTGAAAATCACAGACCTTAGGAAGCAGAGCAGTAATTAGTTGGGCAG